AAAATTGGAAATTTTCGAAATGAGCGTGATTCAAACCACGCGATAGATACCAAAGATATACGGAGTGGAAATCACAACAACAGAATATAAAAATGTGCATAATTGACACAGTCGAAAATCAAATCAATCAATCAAAAATTCGCAGCGCAAATGTTGTTGTTTTTTTTTTTTGTTTAACTCAAGTTCTTTCTCATGCACAGTCGAGTCAAGAATAACTCGATATTTTTGCTCTCGACCCTCTTGCATTCAGTATTTCGTGTGTTAAGAATGAACCAATACTTTTTATGAGCTACTCTTATATTGTATGTGTATGCATTCTACGTGTGAGATGAATTTATGATTTTGGTTTTGATTGTTTTACATTATTCGGTTCAGTGTTCCCCTAACAGGTCCGCCGATTTTTATTCGGCCGTATTTGTTTTTTGAATTATCAGTGATAATTCGATTTACCGTTGCTGAACGATCCGAAGAAGAGTAAAAAAAAATGCAAAAACGAAGAGAGGGAATAAACCTCCTGCAGATGTGTTTCGTATCAATTCGGCATGTATTTGATGAAATACGATGCGAGCGGCAGGCCTACTGCCGCAGACGTGAATCACATGTTAAAAAATAATCACCATAATCAGTATGAAAAAAAAAAGTGAAACGTATTGGGAAAATACAATGGAAATTTATGCAAACAAAACAAGTACATACCATGGAATCACAATAATTTTCTCAGTTGTCTATGTATGTGGTTCACTTAATCGTCGTGTCAATTTTGAAGTACAGCACGCACTTCAATAATCAAGTATTTGAATTCCAGCACAAAAAGCATATCCGAATCGTTTTAACATTGCTATATCGTTGAACATAGATTGAAATCGTAATTTATGTGCTCGATTTTTTTTTCGTTTACTCATTTGTTTGTTGTGTGAGTGTTGTTCACTGGCTTCGGTTGCCGGCTTAGTTCCGAAGTTTTGATTTCGATTCAAAATGAAAAAGAAAAACGCTATTTTAATTATATCAACGCAAAAGGACAATGAAGGTCTCTCTGCAGGGAGAGACAGAGAGAATAAGGGAGGGAAAGATGAAGGGGTAAAAGCAGAGCAATCTCATAACTCGTATTTCATAACCAGAAAAAAATAACTCTATTCATCATAACAACTGAAGATGCATAATTTAGGTTCGAGTCGCCGCTCAATCGACATCATACAGACACAGTTCTAGATGTGTTATATTGATGGAATAATTCACTTCTGTAGTAGATAGAAGTGTTATCGTTAAGCAATCATAACGTTGACTATGGCTTGCCAAAAAAATACACGATTCGAGAAGAAAAATGCAGCAACGTACTAATTAGAAATTATACGTTGTTTAAATCATAGAAGGTACAGTTATAACACCTACATTTTGAACTGTAATGTTGACCTTGTATAACATGTTTAAATACATAGATAGTTTTCAGGGTCCCGAATACACCATTTTCCTCCCTTTGAAGTCTTTGGCGTGCGCATCTATGTTTACATCTATTCATAAATTTATCTACGCTTAATATTTTGAGCCAGCCTTAGTGCGAACGACGTATTTTCTGTGATTCCATTTTCTGGTTGCCTGTATTACACCCAGTTTTCACATCATTTCTGCGATTCCATTCAGATGCGCCACTTAAGTCATTGAATTTTACCAAGCAAAATTATCGACTCTCTTTCGACGATTTTATTAAATTTCTTTAACCTAGTTCAAATCATTAACTATACTTACATATAACACATGCACAATTCAATGTTATAGCTAACGCTGTTCTATGTCGTGTACACCATGAATGTCTCGTGTTGTATGCGTTAAAATTACTCTTATTGAACATTGATTGAACATCGTTTATGGCTTTTATTTGATAACGGTGAAAAAAAAAGGTGCTTCGCTTTCGATTGAGGCGAAAATGTTCATATGACGTGTGTATTCCCATTGAAATGTTTACTCAACATAAAATTAAAAACATTTCAATGATTTTTACGGTAATAACGTAATGGTACAATACATATTCTTATGTATATGCTCGCTTATATGCTATATGATCATACTAGATATAAAAAAAAACCTTTGAGTTTATGCGATGCCGTGACGACGGAAGAAAGCACTCTAACGACCTGCCGTGAAGAAGTCTCAGATGTTTTCGTTTCATTAAACATTTTATAGTAGATTACCACAGGCGCAATTCGAATGGCATAATTGTGCTCGATTTTGGTGGAAAAGTGAAGACGCCGAACGCTTCAGTAACCATCGAATACTGATTGAGAGCACATTGGTTATATGATGAACGCCATTTGACACATTTATGATATCTTCTTTTTTTGTTCTTACTGCCATCATTCGAAAATGGGAAATCATTAAGTAGTCATCTATAGCAA